CAGCAGGAACCTGCAGGGTATGTTTAGGCATTACCAAGTACTTTGCTGAAGCTATTTTGCATGCAGTGTATTTCAGAGCAGCGGCTTTGCTAGCTGAGCCAGGTGGTCTTTGCTGATATCTTCCGGACCTGAGCTCTCTCCTGGTCCCTTCTATTGCCCTGTGCACATACAAAAAATACTGTTGTGCACATACTGAACTTACTGTCTTGGATTGCTGTGGATTGGCAGTGGTTTTATGGATCCAGGCAGGTGCTGCATCTCTGAAGGTACCATCCAAAAACGGAGTTTTAGAAAAACCTGGACTCTATTGTCTGTAATTAAATAAAGCAAAATGAGTTTATCTGCGTAGCTCCACCTGGTGATATTAGACAGTATTGCACACAGACCTGGTCAGAAAAGTAAAGGCATTTCTGTCACGGGTTTGCTGTAAACTAGCACTGAAAAGAAAGTGTGTAGTAAACTACAAATTCATTCACTGCTAGTTAAATACAGTTTCAGAACCAAGAGTATTTGAGCATCAAAATTTGAGCATCAGTCTGTTCTTCTGCAACAGTAGTCTCTCCCAGTATTTAGATTTAGTCACAACAAAAACTTTTTCAATCAATAATTTCTACCAGAACCTGGCCAAAACAATGAAATTCATTTTTACAAGTACAGGTGATTATGCTAAGTATAACTCATGCCTTTAAGATAAGCTGGAGAGAGGTTATGGATTGGAAGGAAAATCTTACGGAGGAAAAACTATCAAAACAATGCATTAACTAAGCAGTTTGATAGAGACTAATATGACAAATATTTCTGTATCTTTCAAAACTTGCAAAGGAGTTGGGTGGTATCTGCTCGGTGGTCAGAAATGTTGCTAAAGCACATGGGAACATACCTGAGCTACCCGAGACCCTGATAGCAACGCAACAGTAGGAGCACCGGGTGCCCCTGCTGTGTGACTGTGGTTCTGAGTAGGCCTGTGCAGCCTCTGCTGCTGCCTCTCCACTGATATCAGTTCTGGAGAGAGCTGGATGAAAATTAGCTCAGGTCAGACCTCTGTGATTGCTGTAGTCAGCCACAGGCAGTGTTATGAGAGGTGACAGTTTTCCTGGAACAGGTGAAGGAAAAACTAGGTGAATTTTTAAGACCCCTCAGGCAAGCTTTCCTAACACAGGAGGTTTAGGGCAGGGTGGAGGATGAAGGGGATAAGAGCAGAAAGAGAA